CATTTCACAGTAACTACTCGAGAAGCCCAACAAAAATGTAAATTTCAACCAACTAATCATATAGAAGTAGGTAGTGGGGGTTAAGTTTTACTAAACACTAATGCCTACAATACCATGTTCAGTCAAATCTGAAAGGCAAAGTTTATTTTTGTCATATCTAGTCCAAATCTTCAACGACAACGAAATATTGGCTTAAAATACTATTCCTTACCGATACTTTACCTTCAAATTGTTGTTCCATATTTAACCTTTTTTTAAAAAAAAAATACAGTTCGTGGAAATATCACACATTTCATTACAAGTGAAACTTTTAAAATACAACGATATATGTAACAGCGATATTTTACACTTCACATTCGTGGTTCTACAAGTTAAAGACTGTTTTTTTACAGTATTCCAAACATGGGCCTCAAATGACTCGCCTGTATTATCGTCCTACTTCTTAGTAAAGTTCTTTGTCCACCGCTAGGCACAATTTAGTCTAAGTTTCTTTAAATTCCTTAATGCAAGAAAGCCATTTATGATCCGAATGCCTTCCACCCATTTATTTTCATACGCGTAATTTTACAAACGTTTAACAGACTCAAACATATTAAAATCCCACTTACCGTCAAACTTCTCAACAGGTAGGGATGGTGTGTTGATGTATATTGTCCGTAAGGTTTAATGGCAGGCTTAACACTCGAAGTTTGAGGTTCTTGCCTTCTCTTAAGAGTAGCTCGGTTACCATTTACACCTGTTCCGTTAATGTTGCTACAAAGTGCTTCAAACTTCTCACATCATCCGCCGCATACTCTTTGGTAATACTTATTACAAGTTAACCAAACTGTTGTTCCATTAATTACTCAACGACAATAAATCCACTCATAAGTCAAAAACAAAATAAACTGTACGACAGTGTCCCTCTTCCGGCGACAATATAACCGATTAAATTTAGAGTACAAATAAACAACCGCTACAACCACAGAAATTAAAAGTAAATATTTTAAACCTATTTGAATACAAGTTTTACAACTTACCAAAAGACATTAAATAAATAGGTACTTGGCCAGGATTTGATGCCAACATTAATAAACAACAAATGTGAAAAAACCTAATTCCAAAATGGCAATATTCTGTATATGAACAACTAGGTAAAATAATTAGTAATAATTTTTCCCCCCATGAAGTATTATACAGAATTAATACACGGGATGAATTTTGTGAGAAAACCTACAAATAAATCAACCTTTCACCAAAAGCACCTTCCGTTCATGAAAAATAAACCACTTAACCAAGTAACGAACAGTATGACACAACACTTAGATATACCCGTAAGCTGTGGTGGTAATAGAGAAATGTAAAATAAAAAAAAGTATCATGTTTGAGATACCACTGTTCAAATACAGAGACTTAAAAACCAAATCACCGATTGGAAAATGATATAAAGCTATTTATAACAGTTTAATTATTAACTGTTTATATAGTTTCAATAATTGACTTACCCATTATTAATACAGTTTCCAAAGTACGCGTTAAGGGTAATTTTCTCGGTTTCTATTACCTAAATTCGCCCGTAACAGAACCCACTGAAGCACCTACAAGTTTCTCCGAGGACATCACCCCACCCCCTAATAGTTGAAATCAGATGAAAAAACAAAATTACAGTTCTGAAACCTAATCACACCGAAAGAATAAATGGTCAATCCCTTCTACACATACTTCTCGGAAACAACAACGACCGGTTGGATGCTTGTCTACATAACCCAGTTTCTCATTTACTGTAACTACACGGTCGAAAAGAACAACGACCGGTTGGATGTTTGTCTACATAACCCAGTTTTTCATGTACTGTAACTACACGGTGAGAGCCACAAAACCTAAACCCAGCGAAAGGATTAAAACGAAACTTCCCATACTTTTCCACTCTGTAGGTTATACAAACACGACTCCAAAAAGATTACATACGATAACTCCACTTCGAAGACGAGACACCTTCTTCTCGTGAACTAACTTATTCAACCTCAGTGTGCGGTTTTTATTCACTTGTTAGGTCACATGATTACAAGTCTGATGATCGTAATTTACATACTCTTGTCCAAAATTAATAATATCTGTACGTCACCGCTGGACGGAACTAGTGTCAGCCTTATAATTCATACAAACCATAAAATAACGTAAATTAGCGTTTTAAACGAAACTAAAAATCCACAGCTTACCTAAATCATAGAAGAAATAACAAATTAACGTTAAACAAAACCACAGCGAAATAAAATTAGTATCTGTTGATTATGAGATGGCTGAGTTTTAAATTCTTCTTTTTTTAAGGTTTTTACTAATGAGGATTAAAAGTTCTTGGAATAGTGAGCAGATACCAAAGGATTCAAAGTTTGCTCACGTTACTTCTCTTTTCAAGGGAGATAATACAAATTGTTCCAGTAATTATAGCAGAAGTTTTAAAAGTTTGATAAAATATGCTTTGCAAAGTCATTTAACAAAGTTTAGAATTTTTATTGGATACTCAATATGGCTTCACTAAGGGAAAATCTTGCCTTACAAATCTTTTGACATTCTTTGAAAAGGTTACTGGTTATGTAGATGAGGGTAAGGGTGCAGATTTGGTGTATCTGGATTTTTCGGAAAGCATTTGACAGGGTGCCACATAAAAGGCTTTAAGAAAAATATCTAATAGGTGGGGGGGGGGGGTAAGTTAGCAAATTGGATAGAATAGTGGCTATGGAAGAGAGCAGAGGGTTGTTACATATAAAGTTCAGTCAAACTGGATTAGTGTCACAATTAGGGTACCTTTGATGTTTTTGACTTACATCAATGACATAGATGAAGGAATAGTCAATAAATTATAATAAGGTCTGGGATTTGCTGTCTCTGAGAAGGATGCTTTTCTAAAGGATTTCAAACATTCAGTGAATTCGGTGTATAAATGGCAGATGGGTTTTAATTATAACAAATGTAAGGTATTTCAATTATAAGTATAATTTGGATCGGAGAGCATTTTATTATTGACTTCTTCATATACATATCTGCCACCTTTGTGAATATAAACATGTTGTCAGGCGATCCAATTCTTACAATGCCACATATATATATTCTACCATGTTTTGAAGCCTCATTCTGTTTTTATGAGAGACTCAACTGTGATGAGACTTTGTTTGTAACTTCACCTTATGATGTTGAAAAATCGTACAGATTTCATCCAGATCGGACCATGGGAGGAGTTTTGCAGATAGAGGAAAATTAGCCTCTTATGTGTAAAGTCTAAAGAAGTTATAATTTCACTTTATGGCCACATCTGGAGTAATGTGTTCAATCTTGGGCTCCTTACCTTAGGAAGGGCATTGAGTTGTGTGAATGTGTTCAGAGGAGGGTTACTACAATGGTGCCTGTTGGGCTCCTTACCTTAGGAAGGGCATTGAGTTGTGTGAATGTGTTCAGAGGAGGGTTACTACAATGGTGCCTGTGATGGAAAGGTTGTCATACGAAGAGAGGTTAAGGTCTCTAAAATTGTTTTCTCTTCGAAAAAGAAGAGTTAAATAGGATTTGTTTGAGATTGTTAAGGGAATTGACAGTTCTGGTGCATCATCTTTTATCATACGTAACGGATTTTGGCAGCATACTAAGATAGTTTCATTTTCCTTGCAGGGTGGATGGCTTTTGGAATGGGTTGCTTTCGGGTGTTGTAGAGGCAGTAAATTTCAGTGAGTTTAAAAAAAAAAAGCTTGATAACTATACGAATGATAATGGCAAGCTTTAAGAGTTATTTTTATATTAATGTTAATTTAGTGTCCCTAATTATCATGTTAACATCTTTTTTACGATGATACCAAAGTTATACGTGCAAAAATCTCTCTTGCATAATACCTAAGTTTCCAAAAACAGTTAATAATATCGCTTTTTTTTATAGTAGAATAGGGTCAGATTCTATACAAATCTTAGTTAGAAAACAGGTATAAAATGAGGTACATAAACTAATGCTAAAACTACTCTAATGATTAGTTTAAAAGTTACACCAATGAAGACAAATACAGAATCTACAACGTAACAAAATACCAACCAGTAGCGTGTAAGTCTTATTTGCCGTGTTATAACTAATGGAGTATTTCGGATATGACACAATCAAGGAGATGTCTTTTGATATCAAAAGGGTGTTTGAAGGATTTTCATGGTCAATCTTCGTCCATAGCACCTGTATTTCAACAAAATGTAATTTCATATTATCTCCAACTTTAAACACAAGATATGTTATAGCAGTAAAATAATACCTGAAAAATGTCACACACACACACTTATGTTATTCACTGATAAACACGACGCACAGCAAACTTTAAGGTTCTACGAAGTGAAATGAATGGATGAAACCTTCCTCATGTGCAGATGCCACATTATTATACTTAACGTTTAATATATCGCATAGAAATCGTACGTCTTTAAGATTGCACACGTAAAATCAAGCAGTAAATCTATATTAATGAACTTGGTATAAATCCAGCAAGGACTTTTAACTTGGTTAATAAGTGTCATCATCCTGATAGGAGGAAAAGA